CTCCACTTCCCCCCATTTCCCAGCTTTTTCCCCCTTGTTTACTTTTCCCATCCCCCCTTCCACCTTCGCGCATCTCGCGTCTCGCGTCTCGCGCCCCCCTCCAACTATATATAGTCCCGCCCGCACCCGCCCCCCCCAGTAGAACTCCGTCCTGCATACAGCCCCGGCGCTCACTTTCCGGAGGCCGAAGGCCCCGGCCCCCTGTTCTATATATATGTCCTCGAAACAGTATATTCCAGGAACCGAGACTATGGACAAATGGTCGCGCCTTCTTTTTTGCGCGCGCGAGTTCGAGTAGTGGAAGTGCCGATATCACCGGGGGTGCTCGGGATTTTCCGTGTCGGAAGTGGGCACTCTACTGTGGTGCCGACACAGCTACTGGGTGCCGGCGCGCGGGAGTGTCGGAGTCTCTTGTAGTGATGACGGCACCCGGGCGTCGCACTGTGAAAATTTTTCACCACCCCATCGCAAACAACGAGACAGTTGGCTATAACGCCACGCCACCCCCAGACCGTCTACGAATGGGAAACTGACACCACTGGCTATACCGCCCACGGCGAACAATTCGCAATCATTGTTTTTGTGAGCTTCGTCCGGCGGCCCCCTTGTTTTGCCACCTCATCGCAGACACCTTGGACCTTCTATCTCAGCCAGTTTGTATCTGATGACCAAACGCTGAGTGGGAACCGCGTCATTTAACGGCTGCTACCTACTCCCACCCTCCGCTTGTCGCTGGCTGCCGTCTTCGTCGAGATCGGGTCTTTGGCGGAAACGGGTACAACCAAACACTCGCCATATCTCGCCCACCTGTGGCTCAAACTCGCTGAAACTGCGCCTCCGGAATCTTCAGCGGATTCGCCCGGTGGGAACTGTCTTATCTCGGCAGCTGTGTGTCTGGTTGCTGGTGTAAGGCCGGTGGCGTTGGTGGTCATCGTGGTACGACCAGAGGATGCCATATCTCGCCAGTGCCAACTCCAACTAAGGTGAAACTACGCCGCATACATCCCAACGGGTGCCTCATACTGTTGTACCAGTTTGGCGTTGATTGGACAACTTCTGGTGTTGTCGGCGTGTCGTCGGTGTACACCAAACTCAGCCACCTCACCAGCCCCTTGTCCAACTAAGGCTAAACTACGCCCCAAGCATTGTCGACGATGCCCAATAACGTGGCCACAGTTTGGTACTTACAGCGCCACTGCTGGTGGCGTGGTTGCGGTGCCAGACCCCATAGTACTTGTAGATTACCCCCCGTAGCCCCGCCTCTAACGTAACCGCCGCCACCACCTAAAACCACACCCACACCACTTCTACTGTCGTCCCCACCTTATCTAGTCTCCATTTCGTCGAGTCGGTGTTTCTTCGGCCCCCTCATAGCCCACCCGAAATCACTAACTATCGGTTGCGGCCATACCTAGTAGAAAGCACCATTTCCCGTCCGATCAATTGTAGTTAAGCTACTAAGGGTCTGATTGAGTAGTGTNCCTGCGAATCTGTATACAACTCCCTCTACTAATGATGATCAAATCACAATTCTAACAGCGTATATTCGATACAACGTTGCCCAATTGTTAACATTACACAGCGATCTAGCTGGAAAACACTCACTTGCTTCAGCGCAGAGTGAAGTACTCCACGTAATTGATTTCACTCTCCATCGAATCAAAACCTCCTTTGAGCTAAAGTGATGCAGATAGCACCGAATGTCGACGTCTGAAACAGAATGAATGTCCAAGTGGTTCCACAACAATTGTGGTTGCGTCTGGGATGTGATTACAACTTCTGATTTCTATTTTACAGAACCTTACGGAACATAGTAATGGTATTAGAGCCCACTCGACTTGTCTTATCAGTATTGAATCCTGCAAAGTCCTCCTCTAAATGCAGGAATGGTTTGAGAACGCACATAAAGCTTGTCAAATACCTCAGTATTCAATTCGGCTCCATGAAACTTCTGCAGCCAGCATTCTAGCGTATTGTAAGTATGACTGTAGTATCATTCTTAGTTTGCTTGCGATATGCAACTTGTAGCGCCATCATAGTGTGTCTACTGCATCCGTCTACTTGTCCTGCAGGTAATGCCATTGAAGTGACATAACTCAAACTTTGTCAAATCTATCGTTGAATTACCCAGAAACACACCAGCTATACTTCAGATATCAACAATGATTACAAAGCACACAGACAATTTTTATCGCTCCCCGTTGATGTTATGCTCTAACATATTTGGAACTACTTCAAATCGAACGTCAGCCTGCCTAGATATTTTCTACCATACTTCTGGTGCCAAAGAATTTTATGGTGCTAATTAGAGGTCTGTACCAATTTTTCCTGATTTTATATCGCATTTTGAAGTTTTTCGTATGATAATCCAGAAAAATTTCATTTGCTGTGGTAAATATTATTTCCACCGTACACTTTATGGTGATGTATTTCAATTTTCTCTAGGGTGTCATATACGTCGTGAAAAGCCTGATTGATAGTTCATTCGTTATATGCACATGCAGTGTTTGTGTGCAGTATCTACAACCTTGACAGCGTGATATCTGTGTCAGCATTGGTGTTAACATCTCCCTAAACACACCAAACTAACCATACATGCTCAATAACTACAGTGATGCTGACAAAAGTCAGCTGGTATATCTGTAGGGGGTGTTGGCACCCACCTTGTTGTGTCTTGCATATTTATTCATGCACCTGCACATAGTCATTTGAGAGGACGAGGTGATATACCTCTCCCATCACTGCTACGAAAATCACAAGTCAATTTCGATGCTTAGTAAATGTAATAGATTACGTTTCAANAAAAAAAAAAGTTTTTATACACTTGTAACTCACATAGAGACGCCAATTTTGATGTCAACTCTCCCAAAATCACCTCAACTATACTTCCAACGCTAAAGAATCTTATGGAGCAATAGGTTTGTTTTTAGCGATTTTTCCTGATTTTATAGCACACTTATTAGTTTTTCATAGAAAAAGTCAGAAAATCACATTCGCTGTCCTAAATACTATTTGAATGGTGAATATTACGGTGGTGTTGTTTGTTTTCTCCTAGAGTGATATATAAGCGGTGCAAACACTTTGTCAGTTCACTAACGACATGCAGTCGGAACTTCTATGTGCAGGCATGACATTTTGCCATTGTATACAGGATAAGTAAACAAATGAAGGACGTCATGGTGTCTGGGAACAATACCTTCAAGATTGATTTTGGATTATCTGTGATATCATTCTTCTGAGATGAATTTGTGTTGACGCACTGTCCTTATAATTAACATCAACTTGTCCGGTACATCGATGGGGCCGTGGCCATTACTGGGGGATCACAAATGTAGCTCAGGCCACACCAGAATTTTCAACTGAAACAAGTAGCAACACGTGCTTTAAAGACCACCGAATATACCATGGCGCTGTTAATTGTACTCGATAGTTTTGAGATTATTTGGTTGAGTTTCGGGACTTGTGGAATCGGCGACTAACAGAGTATAACATGCGATAATTAGAGGGAAGTCACTTAATCGATAAGTAACCAATTTTGGCAACGCGTAATCAAGTTCAATTAATTATTTTAGCTATTTGATATTTTTAAGAAGGTTGTCACACACTCAGTTTACGTTTTCTTTGAGCCATTCGGAAACCAAGTCCAAGTCACGCGACACCCAGCTGGCTTTAGCGGTGATCATGTCCAATGATTGTGCCAACCCTTGGTCATAACCCTTGGTATCCTTCTTGGCGAAAAACTCTTCAACTTCCTTCTTTTGCGAGTTGTTGGTGAAACCCAGGGTGGACAAGGTCACCACAGAACCCAACATCGACAAACCAGGAGGCAATAACTTGTAAACCTTATCCCAGTTGCTGGTGATCCATTGCCACAAGGTTTCAATACCCTTGCTATGAGCACGCATACCTTGCATGGGAATATAGATATCTTGGGCCTTAATGACTTCGGTGTCAAGCAACAACGAGCAAACCTTGGCCAATACTTCGTCATCCTCGAAACGACCGAACGCCCTCAAAGCAGCAATCTTTTCTTCACTCGACGACGGGTTGGTATAGATTTTGAACAATTGGTCGAACTCCTGCTTACCGCCAGTCTTAGCCACAGTCTGGAACACAGAACCCTTCAAGTTGGGGTGGATAGCCTTAGCATCGCCATTGATAAACTTCTTGAAGATTTCGTGAGCGTGGTCAACCGCCGGCTGGTAGTCCAGACCCACCGCCAGGCCAAACAACAACAGCTTGAGTTGTTGTTCAGCGAAGGAGTCCAGGTTGGAAAAGTTCCAGCCCACTTCATTCAACTTGTCCTTGACGAGTTGAACGGTAAACTTTTTGAGGTTGTCCTTGACTTCCTTGTCTTCGAATATGAAAGCAGCCTTGATGGTTCCGATACGGGTCAAAATCTCCTCCCACACCACGTAGTTGCTTTCCTTGTCCCACAGCTGAACCAATTCAAGCAAAGCAGTAGTGTCGATCACACCCGACAGGGCGAGCGACCCAGCGTCAGCGACAAGTCCCACACGGTCCTCCACGGTCAACTTACCAGCATTACCAGCTTCACCAAGCTTAGTCCACCGGCTGGTCGAGTAAGCGGTACGGTAGACACCCGATTGGTCAGCGTTGAGCTTGAAAAAGTCATCGTTGACTTCAATGGTCTTCTGGCGATCGTTCAATACCAATGATTCATCAACACCCTTCAGAGTCTTAAGCCCCAAGAACACGGGGTACAAAGTTTGGTCTTCTTCGGGCTTGACGTCACCAGTAGCCAAAAACCGGTTTTGGGTGACAGTGACCTTACCAGTGCCGTCTTCCTCGACATGAACCACGGGGAAACCAACCTTTTTGGTCCACACGTTCATTACCGCGAGCACATCCTTGCCCAGGGCATCGGCAAGAGCCTTCCACAAGTCATCGGAGGTGGCGTTACCCCACTTGTGAGCCTTGAGGTAGTTCAGCACCCCCTTGACGAAGACGTCTTCACCCAACCACTTGGCCAACATCTTGAGCACCAGCGACCCCTTCGAGTACGAGATAGCATCAAAGATTTGGTTGATCTCATCAGCGCGCTTCACAGGCACTTCAATGGGGTGCGACGAACGCAAGGCATCAAGAGCAAGGGCGTGTTGCAACGAGTCCAGCACGTACAGTTCCCATACCTTCCAGTCGGGGAACAATTCATTGCAGGCGTACCACAGCATGTAGGTGGCGAAACCTTCGTTCAAGTACAAGTAGTCCCAGAAAGTCATCGTCACCAAGTTACCGAACCATTGATGAGCCAATTCGTGCATCACCACTTCCGTAACTCTTTGCTTAGTGTTGATGTTGGTGTTTTCAGGGTCCAAGAGAAGATCAACCGTTCTGTAGGTGATCAAACCGTAGTTCTCCATAGCACCAGCAGAGAAGTCATGGATGGCTACCATATCCAACTTAGGAAGAGGGTAATCGATTTCAAACTTTGCGTCGTAGAACTTAAGGGTCTTGGCAGCAATGTCGGCCGAGTATTGACCCAATTGTTCCGAGCCAGGGGTGGCCCACACCTTAATAGGCACACGGTAGTCGTTGTTTTCCACGTACTTGAGGTCACCAACAATGAACGCAACAAGGTAAGTCAGCATCAATGGCGTGGTGTTGAATTCCACCACCTTTTTGCCACCTTCAGCCTTAGTGGTGCTCTTTTCGTCCATGTTAGACAAGCACACCAACTTTTCGTCGGCAACAAGCGAGATCGAGAACTTAGCCTTGGCAGCCGGTTCATCGTAACAGGGGAAAGCCCGGCGACAGTCAGTCGGTTCCATCTGGGTGGTGGCGAGGTACTTAGTCTCGCCATCTTCAACGTACAGCGACCGGTAGAAACCGGCCATCTTGTCGTTGAGTTCACCGATGAACTTCAAGTCCAATTGGGCCTTCAGGCCTTCCTTGAGCGATTCGGGGAGCTTGAAGGTGACCCGTTGCTTGTCCTCGTCGAAGTCGACCAGCTTCACCGGCGAGCCATTGATTTTAGCCTCATCGATTTTGATTTCCAAAGAGTTCAAAGTGATGTAGTCGGTGTCCTCTTTGACGTCGAAGTCGATAGTTTCCTCACCTTTGAAAGTGAAGTCGGAGAAGATGGGCTCGAAGCGGAGCTTGTAGTGCAACGGCTTGACATTGGTGGGCAACACCTCCTTGCCTGCGGTCAAGGTAGTGGCAGAAGCAGCGTGGGTATGGCGACACATGTTGCTTCGAAACGAACAGTGGCGGATGGCTGTGACAAGTGTTCGCTTGATGAACAGCATACAGGAGAAATTTATAGTGAGGGAGAGCCGTGCTTAATGAGGCACCAAGTGGCAAAAATTGAAATTGGTGCCTGGCAGAAACTAGTACGTCAACGGAAACAGGCTCGGCCGACAATACGAACGGAATTGAGGTCAATGGCGATGATGTAAGTGGTCGAGAGTGGTTGGTCAGACAATTTTGGGGAGGGCTACTAACCGAGTACTCCTTCCCCACACGCAACAATTCATCGGACGATCACAAACTAACTAACATCCATTATTTAACCTAAACCGACTGGAACTTTTACTGGTACCGTTGACTCGCCCACATTCTCTTTCCCAGTGTAAGCCGTGGATAGCCGCGGTGAACCTCTCTACTCCGAACATCTCGGCAACTCGCGGTGAGGCAGTTTTGCCACCAGATGGTGCCACAAATACGCATCCACATCGACATCGCTTATAGCAGACACTTTTACTGAAATATTCAGCCTTCCTTAAGTAGTCATGCCCGTCATCTATTATCGTCCTACCGAGATCAACTTAGGCAAAGCCCCTACTCTATTAAACTCCCTAGAAATCATTCAGGGATAAATCGGTCACGCTTATTGAATGAGCAGCATTAATTGTGAACCGTGGCCACCTAAGAAGAGATCACAAATGGAGGTATCTGACAAAATCAAAGTGGTTGTAGTCTGGTGCATGGTTGTGGGCTTATCTCATGACCATAACCGTTAGCTTTTTCCAATTCTCTAGCTTTCAAGGCTCTAGCAAAGTTAGTAAGATTTTGATATACTGTACTGTTATTGTTTGAGGAATTTAAGTCTCGATCCGCAATTCTTTGCAATTTTTTTACAGCCCCCTGGCGTCAACGGTCGCGTCCCGCGAAATATTTATTTAGATCGACACCCTGGTGGTTAAACCAGTCACCATCTTTTCTATATTAAAGGACGGAAAGCAAGTGATTTCCCATACCAATGCAAGACTTCCATAATCAAGGGTGGGCTCTCACCCTTCTCAGTCTGCTCCTTTGTGTATTGGGCACCTTGATCATCTACGTGGAGAATGTGTACTACTTCGTCTTCCCTCGATTCATCACCCGACGTTGGCCCATCAAACTCGAACGAAATTATCGTTTCCTTACTTGCCTGATGGCTTTCAGTTCCGGAGGATTGCTTTTCACGTCGTTGTTCAGGCTCTTGCTGGAAGGCCGAGAGTACTTGGAACGGGCTACCACCAATGACAGCAATTCTAACCTTGACTGGGAACTCTTGGTGGCTTATTTTGGGGGAGCCACCTTCTACTTGACCTTTAATTACATCCTTCATGTCCTCACCAGCGAACTGGTGATTCATTGCTCTCACGGCGATGAGGAGCATCATGGCTTCCAAGATACCCACGCACACAACCACAATGCGAGCTCCCATCACAGTCACAGTCACCACGACGATGCCTATGACAACCACTCGGTGCTGCTGACATTGCTGGCTTCAGCCCAAACTGGGACCGATTCCACTTATAATGATCCCGATGAGTCTACGCCATTAGTAAGAGAAAGCATTATTCATCTTGTTTCGTCTGCGGTTGAAAATCTGAAATGCAAGGGATACTCGCTGGCCGAGCTTTGTGTGTTTCACGCCACAACCGGTGACAATGAGCTCCACTTTTGCGAAGTGCCCGAGATGGAAGTAGCTGAAGTCACTGAAGCTGATTTGCATCCTGTCAGCACTCGTACATCATTCCATTCCAAACACGACCACCACCACCATCACGTTAACCTGCCGAAATCGAGGCTTTTCCTCATCGGCTTGCAAACCACCCTTGCCATCACTCTTCACAAGTTCCCTGAAGGGTTTGTGACTTACGTAACATCGGAGACCGATCCTCAATTGGGAGTGCTGGTGTTCTTACTGTTGTTGATGCACAACTTCACCGAAGGGTTTACCATGTGTTTGCCGCTTTATTACAGTTTCAATGAGACCAGTCGAGCTCGCTTTGCCAAGATCAAGGCGGTAGCGATTCTGGCGTTACTTGGTGGTTTATCCCAACCCCTTGGGGCATTGCTTGGGGCAGTGTTTATGGCTTACAACGAAGATGATAAAGTGCCTGGCGAGGTTACCCTGATGTTTGGTTACACTCTCGCCGTGACCGCTGGCTTCTTGACGGTGGTTGCGCTTCAGATGTTCGGTCTGGCGGTAAGCTTTGGTGGTTCGTTGAACCGAACGATGGTGTGGTGTTTCATTGGCATGTCGATCATCGGCTTTCTGGGGGTGTACGTTGAGTAGAAACATTCAGGTAGAAACGGAATTTATTTACGTACTTTGGGAAGCTCCCTAGATATTCAAATTAGTAGCTTGTTCAAATTGTCACCCGTTGCCAATTTTACAAGAGATCTATTTCTTGCGCTGTCAAGTACCTCGTACTTTTTAAAACGGCCTCTACTTTACATGATACTCTCGCTGGTGCACGTTTTTAGAGGTCCGAATCAATTTATGCGTTAGTCTTTGAGGCAGAGATGGGGAACAGTGATCGACGCTGTCATTATGCACTTTGTGTTAGCTTCTAGTCTTCGTGTCTGAACGTGGTCACTATTGATCGGACCACACCAAACATGACACATGCATTTCCCTGGTTTAAAAGCAATCGTAGATTCTGTCGCGCAGTGCGGCTACGGAGTAACCAATAAACCGATCCCCCATATGGGGATCAACGTGGCGGTCATATACAGCAAAATGCCGTTATATTTACAACGGAGCAGCAGACATTCTCGCGGATTTTTATCGTCATGCCCAATTTCGATGCTAATTTATGATCACGAGGTAGAGGCTAGATTATCCTTGAGTGCGCAAAAAAGGAATCTGTGGTAAGAGATGCGAACTCGGTCTATCGCGTAAGCCGCATGAACGGCACCCCGCTCAT